TGGTTGCATAGGCTGGTGTGCTTCTTCTATGTGGGCTTTGTTGCTTCTGAGCTTGATGGCCGCTTGATTACCTGAATGTAACTGTTTACGGGCATAGAACATCCCATCTTTCTGCCACAGAGCCACTAGTGGTTTCAAACTGCTGACCTTGTAGATTGCAGCCCCACTGGTAACCACTGCGCCACAAGGACTCCTTTTAGAGTCTTAGAAACCCCCCAGAGTGTCACTGTAAGTCAGAATCAACTCATGACAATGGGCTGGTGGGATCTTATCTATAGGCCAGGGGTGCAAAATGCCTTGGATGTCCTGACTCCCGTGTGCATAAAGAGCCTTTTGCTTTGGGCTTCAAGAGTCGTCATTTTCAAGTGTGATTATTAAGTTCCCATAGTGACGGGAGTTAAATATAATACAAAGAGTTATAAGAAGTATGATTTGCACATCGAGTCTATATACATCCCAAACAGAACTACTCCATCCTTAGCCCTTGTGGGTACGAGTTAGACCCTTCTAAAAAGCCAGCCACTGAGGCATTAAACTAATCGTTCCAAGTACACGTCTGAGAACAGCCCAAAGGCACTGTTCAAAGGCAAGAGTAAGAACATGGGGAGAGGGAGGATGCGCAGGATGGGGGGTGGTAAGTTTACTGAAGAGTGGTAAGTTCCACTGCAAGGGAACAGCCTCCATTGTTGCAGAAGGAGGAAAGTGCGATCTAAGCAAGGCTTCTTACCTACAATGTTTCCAGGCAGAAAAACAATCATGCTCATGACCATTGATCCGACCCAATATAAGCCAATGGTTCTGTAACTTTCCCTGTAACAAAAGCAAAAGAAAACCCTTGATTTAGTGCACTTGTCTGAGGATACGAGCATCAAGAGATGTTTCCCGTGATCACCGTGCGGTCTATCTACTAAAGGATATAAATCAAAACGGAATGACCCCGGGTACAAAGAACTCTGCCGATGAAACTCCATCAGCCTGTGAGGTCCTAGAAAACCTTTTGTGCTCTAACCCGTAGTCCAGGATGAAATGTAGGTATCTATTTTCACAAGGAGCCTGCTGGTGTTATGGTTCCGTGTTGGGCTGCGATCTGCAAAGTCATCAGTTCGAAACTACCAGCTGCTCGTCAAGAGACAGACAGGGTCTTCTACTCCTGTAAACAGATACGGCAGTGCTTCTCAACCTTCCTACTGCCGCGACCCTTTACTACAGCTCCTCATGTTGTGCTGACCCCAATCTTCAGAAATATGTTTTCCAATGGTCTTAGGCGACCCCTGTGAAAGGGTCGTTCGACCCCCAAAGGTTGAGAACCGCCGAGTTACAGCGTTGGAAACCCATGGGGGCAGTTTGACCTTCTCCTGTCGGGTCGCTCTGAGTTGGCACGACCTGATGGCAGTGAGGTTGGGTTTTTCTGGTGTTACCTGCTTTAGTAGTCCCCCTGGATCATTCCAGGGACTCCCCCCCAGGGGGCGGTGTTGCCCACCTTAGAGCTCAAGACCTCCTCTTGTGCTTGTAAATAGAAAGCTATCCTTGTCATACTGATTTTTTTTTTTAAATACAATCTGGTCATTATCACCAAAGAGGTCCTATAATCCCTATTATATATGAAGTTCAGTGCCGTGAAAGAAAGGGGAAAAAAGGTTCAAAGAAAGGGATTTGTGGGGGAGCGGGGAGGGAGGGGAAAAATGAGGACCTAATGTTGGGGGTTTAAGTGGAGAAAAAATGTTTTGAGAAACGATGTACAAATGCGCTTTACACAACTGATGTGTGTATGGATTGGGATAACAGTTGTATGAGCCCCTAATAAAATGTTGAAAATAAATAAATAAATTTAAAAAAAGAAGAAAAAAAAAAAGAAAGGGATTTGAATCCCTATTTTAAATTAGTGATTCTGTGTAAACAAAAGGATGTTGATGGTCCCTGCTGTCCTAGAATTTTGGCCACAGCCACAGATGAGGACCGTCAGGAGCACACCCACCATGTTACCTAAGGGAGCTGCTACACAACCCCTAATCTTCTTAAGAGAAGATGTGGCCTGGAAGTTGCTTCAACTAATACCCAGCTCCATTCTATATAGGGAGGAGTCCTGGTGGCGCTGCCGGTTGAGCATTAGACTGCTAACCACAAAGCCAGAGGTTCAAACCCATCGGGCGACTCTTCAAGAGAAAGTTGAGGCTGTTGACTCCTTTTAAGAGTTACAGCTCAAATATTTAGTGACTCTATGGGACAGACTGACGCTGTCAGTCCTTACGAGAGCAGAAAGCCTCACCTGTCTCCCACAGAGTGGTCTGTTGGTTCCGAGTAACCCACTAGTCCCCACTTAGAGCCCCAGAAACCCTCTACAGTGTCACTGTAAGTCAGCATCAACTTGAAGCCAGTGGGTTGGTGCACTCTTGCAGAGGAGCTGTGAGAAATCCCAAGGGAGATTCCCTGGAGGGAACACATGAAAGAAGTCTATGTGTTTCTGGCCAGCCCCGCCCTCCAGGCCAAATGAGCCTGGGGTTGTCAGCAGAAGGGCAGACGAGAGTCTTCTCCCACCTGGGTGTGAACTGAGCTGCAGAAACTCTGAGACCCACTCCTGGCTGCCTCTAAGCAGAGCACACGCAGGGCCTTGCAGAGCTGGGGAACTAGAGAAAGGCTGGCCCCTAGAGCGGCCCTGGATTGCAAGGTGAGAAAGGGGTTGATGGTGGGCTGGTCAGTACAGCTGCACTTGACTTTTGTGTAGGACAAGAGGAGAAGCCCTGGTGGTGCAGTGGTTGAAGCACTTGGCTGCTGACTGGAAGGTCTGCGGTTCAAGCCCACCAGCTGCTCCAAGGGGAAAGACGTGGCAGTCAGTCTACTCCCATAAAGATTTACTGCTCCGGAAAGCCTGTGGGGCAGACCTGGTAGGGTCGCTCTGAGTTGGAATTAACTTGCCCACATGGGTTTGATGTTGGCTTTGGTGGTGGAACCAGAAGGCATGACTCGCTCTAACCAGGCACCGAGTGGAAGCCTGGGAGGGCAGCTGGACTCCAGGCCTCTTGAAAGGACCCCTCCCTAAAGAGCATCCCTCCTCTTTCCCATCTTGCAAGATGGCGGTGAAAAGGCTGAGAAGAAGCCAGACACCAAGGAGAAGCCTAAAGCACGGGCCAGTGGCCAAGTTCAGAAGACTAAGATCAAGGGCAAAAAGCTCAAGAAGGGGAAGCCCCACTGCAGCTGCAACCCCAGTCCTAGTCGGAGGAATGGCCTAGTAGTTCTGCTCCACCGTGGATCCCAGAAAGGCGAGAAATACGCAGCGGCCAAATCCACGGTTGAGAAGAAGGAGAAGGTCCTAGCTGCTGTCACAAAGCCAGTTGGTGGTGACCAGAATGGCGTGGTTGAGCAGCGCACAATACCTCGGGCTACCCGACAGAAGACGAGCCTGGGAAGCTGTGGAGCCAGCTCTCGAGGGGCTGGCGCACCAGCATCACCCGGGACCATTCTGATCGTCCTGGGGAGAGGGCACCGGGGCAAGAGAGCGGTTCTCCTGAAGCAGCTGGGCAGTGGCTTGCTGCTTGGGAGTGGCCCTCCATCGAGTTCCTCTGCGAGAACACCCCAGGAATTTGTCATCGCTGCCGCCACCAAAACTGATGTCAGTGGTGTGGAAAACCCCCAAGTGTCGTCATTATAGAATCTGCTGCCAATTGGTGAGGATTGAGAGTGAAAGGTGGAGTCTAGCCTGTCAATCAGGTCGCAGCTTGATGACCTCATTTGGAGGCGCGAAGGAGATAAATAGCTCGCTGGAGGCAGAACACAGACTCACTCCCAGAGAGACATTCTTGTTCACAAGCCACAGGGACACCGGCTGATGACAGCCAGAGCCTGGGTGGGATTGAACGTGGGCAGTCCTGCCTGCACAGCAAACCCCGGGGCCAAGCAGCACTTAAAGAGGGGTGGCAGGAACAGAGCACCCTGGGACACCCACTCCTCTCGTGAGAGCACATTGACCATCAGAAATCTCAGGGGTTTGCTCCAGCTGCCGTCCAAAGGGACAGGTTCAAAAGGTGACGTTGCGAGGAAGGTAAAGCCCTTCCTGCCTGCACCATCACGTGCACACTAACACCTGCGTGTCCCTGTTTGTGCATTCCCCCCACACACAACCCCAGTGAGCCTCTTCCTTACATACCCTCGTATCACCTGCCAGCGTGGCAAGGCAACTGCCCCCCAAGGTGAACCGACTTACTCCCATGCAATGGCTGCCACCATCACCAGGTACATCAGGTAGTGCACAGAGCCATCCCAGTAGCAGATCATGTGGCCGTACGCAGTGTTCAGATACGGCTCCACCTACGGAGAGCATGGAGAGTCAGTCCTGCGGAACTCCAGGCCTGCACAGTGAGGGAGATACCACAGCCCACCTGACGGGTGCTACCTGGCCAAGAGGAAACGCTGCTCAACCAGGTAAAATTGCACGCTTGGCAGGAATGTGAGGACAGGACTCCCCCCGCCCCCCACGGCCCCCCAAACCAGGCCCTGTCACAGGGTCTATCAGCAGAGAACTCGGAGCGGTCACACCGAGCTGATGGTTTGGACCATGACGGAAAGGCAGTTGGCATTGCGGGCAGTCCAGCCTGCACAACCAACTCCGGGGCCAAGCCATGCCTCACCAGTAGCATGGTCGTAGCCAGAGGGGTGGCAGGGAAAGACCACGACCCCGAGGCACTGGCCAAGTGCGCTGTGTCCCTTGGCTGGCCGGCAGGGCTGGGCACTGCCAGAGAGGTCCCACTGAACTCAGAGCCTCCCACCCATGCCTTCCCTGGGGGGCAATACCCCGATTCCCTGGGCTTCCCTGGCACGGAAGGAAGCAGAGGCTCAGAGGGAAGGGGGCGTCCATGACCTTGTCATTCCGTTGTCCCACGGGCTGTGGGGAGCGTCAGACGTGGGACCGAGCAGAGCCGTCTGAGGAATTCCACATTCTGTGAGCGCAGGATTACTGCGAACCCTCCCTGGTCCAACTCGGCTCCTCTCAACTCCAAATCCGTGTTCGCGCACCGAGAAGTGCGAGGGCAGAACACCTTTTTCCCATCAGAAATCACGGAAGACCAGATCATTGGTTCTGAGGCCCGCAAATGACACTTACAGCTTTAGCCTTCCCGCCCATCACGATCGCCCTATTGTCATTGGGTGGTTTGTTTCAGCCAAAGCAACAGTCACTTTCCAACCTCTGCCGCGGTCTGGGTTCGTTGTTTCCTGGTTGGCGGCTTCACGCCTTTTGTGTTATATTCAGCCACCAAATCAGACAAGCAGCGACCTGATTCACATTTCGCAATGATCGCTTTCTTTTTTGGAGCCTCAGTCACGATATTTTACTCAAATAAACCGCAGACAAAAGTACAGTGACGAATGTGAGTCCTCTGTGTCGTCTGAGTGAGAGCAGCACTTCGTGTCCACTTCGAGGCACGGCCTGTTGCTCACTCTCGGCCTGCACAGGTTCTCTCGAGGAGAATCAAGCAAAGTTCCCACCCTGAGCACATGGTTTTTCAAAGTCTGCTGTTGGAGCCCTGAAAAGTTCCACATGGAGCCGTTCGACGCCCCAGGTGTCACTTGTAGAATGAACTCCGGTCCCTTTCCCCCAGTGGCTCTGCAGAGTGTGGCTCTCATGGCGCGTGCCTGTCACCACGCAGTGCGGATGGTGCCACTCGGCTTCTACCAAACTCTCCTGCCCTGTCCTGCTGGCTCCGCCGTCCCCACAAACACCCTCACCCCCTTTCTACTTGGAAGAGCGAGTATCCCCTTGTCTGTCAATCAACCGGCCTTCTTGCTGCCCTGGGGCCAGGGGCTGCTCAGAGAAGAATCCAGAGAGAGCGGGAGGGGGTGTGGGGGCGCTGCTGTGTGTGCCAGCATTTCTCGCTGATCTGCTGTGACCCGTGGTGGCTGTGCTTGTTGTTAGTTGCTCTTGTGCAGAGGCCGGCTTGTGAGCCTCTGAGGGGCAGAGTAAACCTGCCCCATAGGAGTCCCAAGACTGACCCGGTCACACGGTGGGCTGCCCGTTCGTTGCTAACCAGAAAGAGGGGCACTCATTTGAACCCACCAGCCAGTGGCTCCTCGGGAGCAAGATGAGACTGTCTGCTCTTACAGGGATTGACAGTCTTGGAAACTTGTGTAGCGTAGTGACCCACAGGGTCGCTGTGTGTTGGAATCAATTCTTTGGCAGTAGAGGGGAATCTTTATGGAAATAGACCACCACATCCTTCTCCCGCAGAATCGCTGTTGGGTTCACACCTCTGCCCTGGGAGCTAGCATCCAAGTGGGACAGACTAGCACTAACCACTGTAAAACCATCTTCTTGACTGCTGAATGACCTGCCTCCTTCCCCCTCCCATCTCGGAAAGTCCCACGAGTGGCTGATTGTAGAATGTACTCTCATGTTCTTGAGATCAGAATATTGTAATTAATGATACTGTTCCTTTTGATGTTATAACCAGGATATTACTCTTTTTACTTTGTTAACCAGGATGTTGTCATCAGTGCTGTACCCTGTAATGCTCACTACCTCTAAAGAATAATAACAGTGATTTTACTTTCTGGTCCTGTCCACGCTTTTTCAAGTCCTAGACAAATGATAGATGAGTTTTTGCCTTTAAAGATCCACTGACACGTCCACTCAGGACTGCAATCAAAGAATCGCAGTCCAGTTATAACCAAATAAAGACTTCTAAATTATCAAGACATTAAAAGGCTGTCATTTATTTGAACCCTCAACACAAGCACTTAACCACAGTGCCACCAGGACTCCTTGCTCTGACTGATCATAGCATGCAATTGCATGATTTCCTCAGGGACCCAGAACCAGGTGCCAGCCTGGGCCTCTCCCGGTGGTTCCCTGGGTGTCCTATGGGCTTCCTCAGCTTCGCCCCTCTCCCGACCTTCCCACCTGGGTTCCGGCAGTGGTGACACCCCTCAATAACCAGGCTTAAAAACCACGGGTCATTTTTGTCTTCCTTGTTTTCCCAAGCAAACTGGTGCCAAATCCTATTGATTTTATTTCTATTATAATGCCACCAAGCCACCCTCCCTCTCGTTATACCCCTGGCAGGGCTCTCCTTCCAGCCAAGTTCGGTGGGCACACGGCACCCCTGCTGTCCCAGCCTCATTTCCTCCCTCTGCCGCCTGATGACTGTTCATGAGGGCTGGCTCACAGCCTGTCGCCCTCCAAGCCTGTGGCAGCTAGCTCCCAGAGCCTGGCCCTGCAGCCCCCTCCACAGCACCCCTCAGCCCTGGCCTGGCCTCCCTCACCAGCTCTGCCCCCTGGCCTTCTCGACGCCTCCATCCCCACCCCCACCCCCACCCTGCCCCCTCTGCTCCCAGCAGTCACATGCTCTCTGGGTTTTCCTTCTGCCTCACTGTCTCCTTCAGGTGCTTTTCTGCATCTAGCAGCCAGTCTCCAAGGTGCCGACCTGGCCCTTCCCCCCCCTCTTCCTTCCCCGACCAGGCCTTCAGGTACCAGTTATGCTCAGGTGGCTCCCAAGGCTCTGCCGGGAGTGATCTCTCATGGGCCCAAGCCCTGCCAAGCTGGGCCATCTGCCAGCATGTCCCTCGAGCACCTGTACCCTCAAATGTCCTCATAAACCTTGCACTCTGCAGGTGCAGCGTCAGAGGGAGACACGTGCTACTTCTCATCCAAGCTGTTCCCTCTCCTTGGAATGTCCTTCAACCTCCTGGTCTGTCTGGTAAATGTTTGCCATCAGAGCCACTGCCACTGAAGACAAGTGCCGCAGCAGTGTCTCCACCTTGACAGAGCTCTCCCCTACTGCTCCCAGCAGGAGGCAATCGCTGCCCCTCCTCTGTGAACTTCAGTGCCTGCCAGCCAGCCTGTGTAAACCACCACCTCTGTGCCTGGACAGTGAGCTGGGGCAGGAAGGTGCTGGAGTCTAATTCAGCCAGACTTGTAGGAGTTCTGGTGGCCTACCGGTTACGCGTTGGGGTGCTAACCACAGGTCAGCAGTTTGAAACCACCAGCCGTCCTGAGGTCGACACATGAGGCTTCCTACTCCCACAAAGAATTAGTCTTACAATAGCAGGTGCAATGGCTTATCAGGGATATGGGGGGAGGGGAGGTTGGAAGGTAATCGGAAAGGTGATAATGAACACAGGACTGGGGAGGATGTTCTGGAACTAACTGGTGGTGTATATATAACTTTTACTATGACAACTATGAACGTGTACGACATGTGAATTATGTCTCAAGAAAACTATTAGGGGAAAGAAAAAGAGTCTCAGAAACCTACAGGGGCAGTTCTACCCTGCCCTCTGGGGTCACTATGATGAGTCAGAATTGACCTGCTGGCACTGAGAATTAGAGGGGCAAGGTGACCCATCTGGAAATGGGATGGGAGGGACACGTCCTAAGAGCTGAATATGAAAGGGCACTGCCCCATGATCTAATCCTAGTTTTCTGCTTCATTTTCCATGAGGATAAACAGCCTACATCTATGGCAGTCGATGGAATTTTCCGTGGATCATACCAGATTACATTAAACTACAGCATTTCTGACTCTGAGCAAAGTGCTCTGGGCTCCTGACCCCTTTGATCCTAATCGCTAAGTGGCCGCGTACCTCTCTCAGGTAGTGCGCCATGAAGCCGTCGATGACTCCATCCTGCTCCAGGCCTATGATGAGGTTCACCACACTGGTAAATCCGAAGACGGCGTAAACTAGGGCAGAGAAACCAGCAGTTAAGAAGCAGAAGCTCAGCAGATCACGACAAAGCTGGCATTAGCCAGTAACAATGGGTTGCTTCGGATGTTTTCCAGAACATATCTCCTGCACTTCCAGCGGAAACTCTGTGTCCACAAATCTCCCCACTGCTGCCCGCGTGCTCACACGCAGGCTTTGTCATCCTCTGCCTGTGACCCTGAGGAAGCTACCAGGACACCTGGGGTCTCATGAGCCAGCCTCAGGAACCTGATGGCCCCTATCCTCCATGGCCCTCTGAAGTAGCTACCCAGGACCAAGGACCAACTTGCCCCCCAGTTAACACAGAGGTGGCCACCAGGGCTAAAACAATGGCTTCACCTGGGTGCCGACGAGTTGGCTCTGACTCATGGTGGCCTGGGTGTCTCAGAGTGGAACTGTGCTGCGCAGGATTTTAAAGGGCTGCTGGTCACAGGGCCAGGTCTTTCTGTCAAGGTATCTCTGGGTGGTTTGCAGCCTTCAGTCTTTTGGGGAGCGGCTAACCATCTGTGCCACCCACCAGATTCCATTGACTTTATTTCAACTCACAGGGCCCGTATCTATAGACGGTTTCTGAGGCTGGCAGTCTTTACAGAGGCAGATAACCTCAGCTTTCTCCCTCTAGGTGGCTGGGGTTTTTGAACCTCAGATGTGGCTATTAATAGTCCAACCTGCTAGTGCCACCAGGGCTAGGCGACTCCTAAAATATCAACCTGGATGAGGCAGGCCATTCACTCAACCAGTAAGTAGGCCCATTACCGTTTGTCCAACGTTTGCCCTAGTGCACACTGAAGATCCTACAGATGGACGATGAGCTGACACAGAGGGGAGACTGGCTCTCAGACAAAGGCCAGGGAGGAAGTAAAGAGAACAATTGTACAAGATGGGAGCCCTGACCATGAAGGAAGCAAGGCAGAATCATCCTAGGGAATCCTACTAGGGTGACGAGAATCTCTTCACCAGACTTAAAAAGCATGATCCACAAATGGCCGAAAGAATCAGATTTTTAAACAGTGGGTGATCAAATAGGTCGAAGTAGCTGCCTTTTCAAGTTGAAATGGGTCATGAGAGGGGCTTGGCCAACAGAAAAATTACGGGGATAACTATGAGTCTACGAAAAGGCATGGGACAAGAACTTCGAGAAGCACACCCCAAGCCAAACCAAATCCACTGCTTTTGATTCCATTCCGACTCACAGAGGTCCTTTTCAGGAGCAGACAGCCTCATCTGTCTCCTACGGAGCGGATGGTGGGTTTGAACTGCTGACCTTGCAGTTAGCAGTCCAATGTGTAACCCACTCCGCCCACCAGGGCTCCTTTCTAGATGCCTGAGAAGGTTAATTCGCAGAGAAGGGAAGCTGGCCTTGCCCTGAGAAGCTGCCTGCAGCCAGGAGTCCAGCATTGCGCCTTCCAGACCCCGCCTTTCCTGCAGCCCCACAGAGGCCTTTGGCCCCGTTTTCGCCGTCAGAATCTCGTTCTACCACTCATCTTTCAGGGTTGTCCCAGGTGACTCGCCGCGGTATGTCCCCAAGGAAAGGACGTGCTCAGCACAGTCACTGGATCGCTCTCCCAATGATTCTGATGCCACACGCAGGTCAGTCCCTGTGTAAGAAATGGCGCCCAGTGGACCAGGAGTCTGGCCCGGGGCCTGATCCTGAGGCTACAGTGTGATCTGACTCAAAAACTAAATTCATGCCAGGAACCTCATTGATGTTACAAGTGCCCTGGTGGCGCTGTGGGTTTGCCACTGGGCTAACCCGGCAGCCATTGCGAGGGAGAAGCGTGGAGCACTGGGGGTACACGAGAGGGGCACCCCACCTTGGGTTTCAGGAGTTGGGAAGACAAGAGTACAGGTGATTGTGGGCTCGATGGAGGGGGGTGGCTCTGAGCAGCTCAAGCCATTCATACACTTGGTTGGGCACCAAAAGGTTGGGGGTTCAAAAGTCCTCCCAGCGGTGCCTCGGCAGAAAGACATGGCAATCTACTTCCAAAACCACAGCCATTAAAACTGTGGGGACCACAGTTCTACTCTCATACACATGGGCACCATGAGTCAGTCACCTTGATGGGTCCCGGGCAGTGGCCACGGAGTGGGGAGAGGCAGACAGCCGCTGGAGGCTAGTCTGGAGGCAGGCAGTGTCAGATCAGAGGCCAGAGGAGCCAGCCAGGAGGGAGGGCATGGGCTTCAATGCCAGACAGGCCTGGCTCCTCCACTGACTGGCTGTGAACCTTTCTCCAAGTTTCAGGGGGTTTTATATTGGAGTCGAGGGAAATGAGTGGTAAATCATTGCAGTTGAGTTGATTCCAACCCAGGACAACAGCATGTGTGTCGGAGTGGGACTCCACGGGGTTTTCACAGCTGTCACCGTTTGGTAGAAGATCACCAAGCCTTCTCCAAAAGCCTTTCATTGGGTTGGTGGACCATTTGATTAGTGCAAACATTTGCCGTACCCAGGACCCTAGTTGTCGTTAGCTGCTGCCGAATCGATCCCCTCTGGGCAAAGAATACTTCCTGAGCCATAGAGGATGGGCTTGGCCACATGACTTGCTCTGACCGATGGAGTGTGGGTTAGAGTGATGGTAACCAGTTCCAAACCTTAAGAGGTGTGGCTCCTCCACACCCCCACCCTCACCCGACCCCTGCCGCCCACATGAGTCCTGGTGGCGTGGTGGTTAAGTGTTGGGCACTAACTGCAAGGCACTAACTGCAAGGTTAGCAGTTCAAAACCACCAACCACCCTGTGGGAGAAAGAAAGGGCTTTCTACTCCCGTAGAGTTACAGTCTCAGAAACCCACGGGGGCAGTTGTGACCTATAGGGTCTCCAGGACTCAGAAGTGACGAGATGGCCGTGAGAGTGGTTTGGTTTGGTTCTCTCTTGTGCCTTTGTATCATCCATGCGAATGGCTGGCCCTGAGGAACTGGTGGCCTGAAACAAAGAGGCTCTGGCCACTCATGGCCCGTGAGCACGAAAATCCATGTTAGCTGTTGAAGTGCATGGCGACCAGAAGGGTGTTTGTTACTCAGCGTTGCTGAAGCAGAAGTAAAGCACACAGCAAAGCCTCCAGCACAGGAAGTGCTCAGGTGGCATGACGGCAGGAGTGCAGACACTGGGGTGGGGGGTCAGGGGGAGGAGTACTCATTCAATGCTGGGTCACACGCAGTAGGACCTTGGCCCGATACTGAGCCTTCCTAAGGCAGCATTTTCATCTGGGGACCAGACCACTTCACCAGCTGCCATCAGTCCAGCTGGTTCCAAAATTCATGGCAACCCAAACATGGAAGCATGTGTGTCAGGGCAGCACTGAGCCACGTGGGATTTTCAGGGGCTGGTTTTTCAGAAGGTGATCTCCCGGCCTTTCTTTCAGGGCACCTCTGGGTGGACTCGAGCCAAAACGTTAACCACCCAGGGTTGGTACCACCCAGGGACTCTCGTCCACCTCTAGACGGAAGGATAGGTGTTGTGAGAATGAAATAAAACAATGTCTCTACCGTGCTCGGAGTGCAGGTGCTCGGCCACGGGTGTTTGTATCGACTCCATAAGCACATCTCGTTGCCAGGAACTGTGAGTCACCCCCTGCAATGACGCCTTACTGAATCCTCGTCCCCATGCTCGGTGCTAGGTACAAGCATGTCCTCGTATTACTTATGTGTGCGTAGGGCCTGTCCGGGAAGCTGACATGCCAGGTGAATGGAGTTATTGGCAGGAGGTTCAGGAAGGAGTTGGTACAGGGTGCAGGTCACAGTTCAGAGGTCAGAACACACTGGAGGTGAGGAATGGATAGGTAGGTTGCCAGACCCTGGAGGTAGCCCGCCGCCAGGATCCTGTCTGGGAGAGGGGAGGGCCGCAGTGTGGAAGGCAAAGGTCACATCATCCTCAAAGACGCTTGTAGCCACTTCACTGGTGGGGGCAGAGTACTTATCCCCAAGGAGGAGGCTGGAGACCAGATATCAGGACACGAAGTGGACAAGAACAGGCTCTGCCCTCCCTCCCTCCCTCGGATGCATACCATAGAACAGTGGGTCCCTGGGTGGTTTTCTTTTGACGAGGACCCGAGCCAGCAGGGCCACCAGGAGCAGGATGAGGGCAGCAGCCCCCACAATGGTCCAGGAACTGCAAGAAACAGAGCAGGGAGGGGGGGTCACTTATCAACACAAAGCGGCCAGTGCCTGGAATTTCCTGACCATTGATTGCACTCACTGCCAGCCCACCTCTGCCTCAGCCCAGGGGGAGCCCATGACCTCCGGCCCTCCCTCCCCTCTTCTCCTGAGACCTCCTCCTGGAAGAGGGAGTGGTGCTGAGGCGGCCAGGGGCCAGGGCCACCTCCTCTGTGGGGCAGCACCAGGCTTAGGGGAGTTAGCTGACATGGGTCCAGCAGTCAGGAGCCCAAGGTTGTAGCCCATACTCCGCCCCTCACCGAGTGGTTGTAA